CCAGAGTGGTCCAACACCAAGCCCAGCACAGGCCAGGCTCCGCCACCAGCTCCAGATGAGGGCCTGCATCTCCCCACAGCCATGCCCAGGGAAGCTCCTCTGCCACCGGTAGGATCAGTGCTCACCTGCCAGCTTCATGGCTAGACCTCTACAGACAAAGTGCCGGGGGCCTTTCTACTGAGGTGAGACTTGAATATATACTAAAAGCACTCAAGCACAATGTTGTTTTAGTGTAATTAATTCCTTTTCAAGGACAGCAGATTGTTCACTGCAATGTTGAGGACAAGGGAAGCATATGTTCTATATTTATCCTTATCCCAAACCAGAGCCATTTATTTATGGCTCTGTCTCAAACCACTTCTATTACCACTAAAGAACAGAACTGTACTACTCCTTCATCTGTGACTTGTCTTCAACAGCTTCAGCTGTAGCGTGTTTTAATACTTTTTGTACTACTAGGCTACTGCAGAGACTTGTGTTCATCAGCTTTGGTTGTTGCATGTCTCACTGTTTTAATTATTAGCCCTAATGTAACACAGTAACAGATATCGTAACACAGTCAGTCAGGAGCAATGGATTCCATATTAAAACATTTATCATGGTACAGATTAGGATCTTAATTTGAGCCAGTTTTCTACAGCAGGAAAATAATCCTGCAGCAGCAGGAAATGTGAATTATTATGTGGATTATAATGAATGGACATTTTTTGGGCGGTTGATACATTTTTCCTAAGGGGAAATCAAGTCTGAAATTTCTAAGTACAAATTACAAACTTCAGAAGCCTTTTTAAACCTCAAATACACTAAACGTTTTAAATGTCCTGTATTTCAGGACAGTTCTCCTGCAACAGGGTAATCAAATTAAGATCTTACATCTGTAGATACTTAGGTTCTCACCTTCAGCTAATGAATTATTCATAGACATTTAATGGTCTTTGGTTTCCTCCCTGATTAGTCCATGGGGTTCTGCACATGATTCTGCTAGAAATAAGTGAAATTGCAATGCAAATCTATTGCTCTGGATTCATATTGTTCAGTCCTATAAGGATGACATGACAGTAATGAAAATAGGCAGACCATGCTGGTGGGTTTTGTGTTTGTATTAAGTGGAAAGTGGTGCACCATCACGAAGTGGTTGGGCAATCTGTGTTATTACTACAAATGAGAAGAACCATGTCACTGACTAACTGCTAGGTATTTGTTCAGGAAGCTAATTCAATTTCCTTTCCTTCTTTCTTTTTCCAGGGCAGTTTCCCTCACTGTACCATAGCACATGGATTTCAAGACTTCAAATGAAGAGGTAGCTACAATTTGAGTTTAATATATTTCAATCTCTCACCATTTTGCAAAGATAATTGGAGCAAATTTGTCTGCCATGGCAACTAGTATTATGTCTTGTTACTTGACAGCGTACTCAACTGCTGACACGTTAACCTTTGCAACGCAACAAGTGTCATTGAATTATCATATCATGAAAATGTGACTGTCCTTGTTGCATATCTGGTGCCTGGTGCCTACCGCCTGCAGTGTAAATTGTAAATGTACACAGACGACAGCATCTCATTGGAGTTGATGATGTAGATAATGATGGAGAGGATTAGGATGGGAGGGTAATGATGAAACACAAGATGGGATCAGAGATAAGGGTAATTACTGTACATACAGTGAGGGAAAAAAGTATTTGATCCCCTGCTGATTTTGTACGCTTGCCCACTGACAAAGAAATGATCAGTCTATAATTTTAATGGTAGGTTTATTTGAACAGTGATAGACAGAAAAACAACAAACAAATCCAGAAAAACGCATGTCAAAAATGTTATAAATTGATTTGCATTTTAATGAGGGAAATAAGTATTTGACCTCTCTGCAAAACATGACTTAGTACTTGGTGGCAAAACCCTTGTTGGCAATCACAGAGGTCAGACGTTTCTTGTAGTTGGCCACCAGGTTTGCACACGTCTCAGGAGGGATTTTGTCCCACTTCTCTTTGCAGATCTTCTCCAAGTCATTAAGGCTTCGAGGCTGACTTTTGGCAACTCAAACCTTCAGCTCCCTCCACAGATTTCCTATGGGATTAAGGTCTGGAGACTGGCTAGGCCACTCCAGGACCTTAATGTGCCTCTTCTTGAGCCACTCCTTTGTTGCCTTGGCCGTGTGTTTGGGTCATTGTCATGCTGGAATACCCATCCACGACCCATTTTCAATGCCCTGGCTGAGGAAAAGAGGTTCTCACCCAAGATTTGACGGTACATGGCCCCGTCCATCGTCCCTTTGATGCGGTGAAGTTGTCCTGTCCCCTTAGCAGAAAAACACCCCCAAAGCATAATGTTTCCACCTCCATGTTTGACGGTGGGGATGGTGTTCTTGGGGTCATAGGCAGCATTCCTCCTCCTCCAAACACGGCGAGTTGAGTTGGTGCCAAAGAGCTTGATTTTGGTCTCATCTGACCACAACACTTTCACCCAGTTCTCCTCTGAATCATTCAGATGTTCATTGGCAAACTTCAGACGGGCATGTATATGTGCTTTCTTGAGCAGGGGGACCTTGCGGGCGCTGCAGGATTTCAGTCCTTCACGGCGTAGTGTGTTACCAATTGTTTTCTTGGTGACTATGGTCCCAGCTGCCTTGAGATCATTGACAAGATCCTCCCGTGTAGTTCTGGGCTGATTCCTCACCGTTCTCATGATCATTGCAACTCCACGAGGTGAGATCTTGCATGGAGCCCCAGGCCTAGGGAGATTGACAGTTCTTTTGTGTTTCTTCCATTTGCGAATAATCGCACCAACTGTTGTCACCTTCTCACCAAGCTGCTTGGCGATGGTCTTGTAGCCCATTCCAGCCTTGTGTAGGTCTACAATCTTGTCCCTGACATCCTCGGAGAGCTCTTTGGTATTGGCTATGGTGGAGAGTTTGGAATCTGATTGATTGATTGCTTCTGTGGACAGGTGTCTTTTATACAGGTAACAAACTGAGATTAGGAGCACTCCCTTTAAGAGTGTGCTCCTAAACTCAGCTCGTTACCTGTATAAAAGACACCTGGGAGCCAGACATCTTTCTGATTGAGAGGGGGTCAAATACTTGTTTCCCTCATTAAAATGCAAATCAATTTATAACATTTTTTACATGCGTTTTTCTGGATTTTTTTGTTGTTATTCTGTCTCTCACTGTTCAAATAAACCTACCATTAAAATTATAGACTGATAATTTCTTTGTCAGTGGGCAAACGTACAAAATCAGCAGGGGATCAAATACTTTTTTCCCTCACTGTACAGGGTGTACAGCAGGTCAAACAATGCTCAGCCGAGCAACGCAGAGAGAGGCTCCTCACCTACCCAGCGAAACAGCAGCATCATAGCACTGATTCAGCTAGGCTAATGAGAATGACTCTGCCTCCAACGACTCCCTCTCTCTCTCACTCTCTCAAACGCACACACACACACCATAACTGCCTCTGTGTATTTTAATTGTGAGTTTGAACTAGCTGTGGATATAGTGTGCAAGGCAACCCACTGTAAAAACACTTTCACATTGAGATGCTGCTGTTGATATTAATAATACTCACCCAGGCTGATTTTTTATGGTTTCTTTACACAGTGCTAGAAACTGTACAGTACAAGTAAATGTCATTATTTGAGTTGCCTTACCTGCAATTGAGATGCCATTTCTGACTTAGAATAGCTACCACGCAAACTGGTGACTAATTTATCCTTCGGTGACACTACTGCGTGTGTTGTCAAGGATGCTCAGTGACATTGGCCTGCTTGGCTTTACATTAGTAATCATGTCAGGTGAAAGTGCTTCTCTTATTTAGACTTAACCATAGTCTCAAGTACAGGATAGGCATTCCAATTAGCTGGTGGGGAATTGGCTATGCAGAATACAGATTTATGCAGATTACCATGTTTTAAATGGATCACGGGATATGATGATGATTTCTCCTATCCCTTTCTTTTGTGCAACACTGAGAAATGCATATCTGGCGAATTATTTAATTGGAGATTTATTTAATTAGACGATTGTAACTAATTGTTTCTGTTGTCTGTTATTAAGAGGCATATCATTGCAGTTATCTGGTTTTGGAAAATTATGAAACATGGAGTTTTATCTTCAGGGCCTAGACAACAATATATTTTGCTCTGATTAATTTTATAGCACAGTGCATAAAACATTAATGTAATTCACACTAATTAGTGAAACTGAATACATTGGAACATGTCCAGACCTAAGATAAAGTTAAACACATGCAGACTGCTATGAAAGACTGCTAATTTCTCACACTGCCGGTTCAGCACATACTTGACTGAGAACTAACCTTAATCAGTGAGTCTATATTTCTCCTGTCTTCTTTTAACAGAATTGCAACATAATATGGAAGATGTATGCAAAACACTAGTGGGTAAAAAAAGATTTCCCTGAATTGATCATGAATTATGATAGCTCTTTTCCTAGCCCTTTAGAGACAACATAAATTATATGGTTTCTTGGTTACTACTTTGGCTTTCCAAAGTGGAATTCACAGAATGTATAGGGGCATTGTTTTACATGTAACCATTTTGAAATGAACAGGCTAAGAAGAAGAAAAATATACAATGACTATCAGTATAGATAGATGAGTTTGTTAGACATCACAGGGTTGCAGATGTAATCGCAGGGTACAGTGAAATTCTTATGCTCCGAGCTCCAACACAGGCCAAAAAAAGAGAAGCGAATGTGACAATAACACAAATAATAATAATAATAATAATAATATACACATTTACAACTATAGCAATGATAAATGTCTATTGGGGTGCGGGGGCAGGGTAAGTGTATGTTGGGGGGGGGGGGGGGGGGGGGGGGGGGGGGGGGGGTGTAAAATGTCCATAGGTCATTCTCCGTGTCACTCTGCCAAAAGTCTCTCCAATGTCTTTCCAATTCGATGACATTTTCATTTCATTTCGTGGCAGTTAATTCGGACATAGAAGAATGATACATTATTTTTCCACTGATTTACTTTGCAGACAAAGACTGGGGTTTATCTACTGCAAGATGGTAATGAGGAGCCTTACAATATTCGACTGCACTTGGCTAAAGACATTCTGACAATTCAAGAGCAAGATGTCATCTGCGTGTCAGGAGAACCATTTTATTCGAGTGTAAGTAACCTGCCGTGCCTGTCAAATAAAATACCACACATTGACATCATACTGATCTTTTACAGACACTCCAAAAGGCTAGGGCCGGCTCTGACTGAATGTGTGGGTATGGATGTGGATACACAGACCCGCCAGCCTCTGCGGTCCCTCATGATGAGTTCAGATATTTTGTGACCCCCACCCCCATCAAAGTTGCCCATACCTTCTGTAGAGGGTGATACACACACACACACACACACACACACACACACACACACACACACACATACACACACATGCATGCATACTATATCTGGGGTAACAATATAAAGATATTGACAATGTACTGACTGAATGACCATATGCACATGGAAGAGCTACTTCAGTCAATTGTAAAACCATAAATCAATGTTCATATTAAAGGGTGTTTCAATTACGAGAAGTACATGTAATGTCAGGCAAGCGTTATATTTGGAACCATGAGAGTGAGGTGTGAGCATGACTGATGAGATTATACAATAAACAGGACAACAGCCAGACACTCAACCTCATTGGTCCATGCCTAAGCATGTCTCAGCCTCATTGGTCCAGCATACACACCCTGTTCCTGGTTGTACTCAAACATGCTCTGGCCCTTACAGTAATTAGATGTACTTACATTAAGTGTGTAATAAGTGTGTAGTGATACGTACTGTATGCACAGAAATAGGAGAGACACCCATGTCTCATATCATACACCATTTCAAATGGACCTTTCCTTTGTCACTTTCCTTGTATATCAGTCAGCTCTGTTATTCTTTCATTTGCATCTACAGTAAAACTTAAACTCTAAGTAAAGTAAAACTAAACTCTAAGTATCTCCATAATAAACACTATCTCTTTAATCTATCTGATTCCTTTCAGGAGAGAACTGTAACGATCAGAAGACAGACGATTGAAGGTTTTGGCTTGAGCATCAAGGTAATTTAGATCGCCATTGATTAGTCGTTTTCTCCCTATTCTACCTTTTAATTTACTTTCACCTAATGCAATTGATCTTTTAAAACCACTATTGATTAATATCAACAGTAGACTAATGGAGTAGCCTATGGGGGAAGACACAATACTTTCTCTCTTTTTGCTCTCTGTTTCTTTCTTTTCCTCTATTTGTTTGTGCAACAAACTACATAACGATATAATTCACCCCCCTAGGGAGGTGCAGAACACAAAATCCCTGTTGTGATATCAAAAATATCAAAAGAGCAAAAAGGTAAGCTCTTTTTTCGTTCTTTGTATCCATTTCATTATGCATTATGAATTATGATTTATTCACCCAAACATAATATATAATATATTGTCTGCAGCTGAACTATCTGGGCTGCTGTTTATCGGCGATGGAATCCTCCAGGTAAGTGATGATGTTGAGTATTGTGACAGTTTCTTCTGCCTGGTGTCATTCAGTGTTTGTCCAACAGGTCTGGTGGAATTCCGACCCCTTCACGCTCTGCGGATGGATCACTATAGGATATATTAGTGCACTGAGCCATGTGTTGGCATGGCCAGGAAGAAAATAAAATAAAAAATTGCAATAGAGATCTTCATTGCAACTGTGACTGTCAGCATTCATTGTTTTGCAGCAGCAATGCTATATTTGAGCACAGACGACAGATATATAATGCACTTGATTGCTGTTTTATGAATCAAGGACTGTGTTTTCAAACACACCTTATTGAAGTAAAATAAAGCATATTATGCATATCATCAGTTTAATGGATCTGATATTATTGTTACTAACCATAAGACTGTTTGATTTTAGATAAATGGAATAAATGTTCGAAGCTATCGCCACGAGGAAGTGGTAAGAAGCTGACAACTTAATATCTCATATTTCACTGAAGTTGCAACACTTGCAACACCACCTTATCTTGTTTCACTTTTTGGACCTTATCTTTGAGACCTGTAAGATCTGTTTTACACCTTTTTCCAATGTGTCTGTATCAACCTCCCAAATGCGTGAGGCTCCATAAATCTCCCAGTTTTCAACCAATATCTAATCTACTTGTTCTAAGAAGGGAATTTGCACTACATCCATCATCCAAGTACGTGGTTGAAATGAGCAACAGACTTTGAAGTCCAATGGCAGTATTGTAAATTCTCCTAATTTTCTTTTACAGGTGCAGGTTTTGCGAAATGCCGGAGAGGAAGTCACTCTGACTGTTTCTTTCTTGAAGAAGACACCAGCTTTTCTGAAACTGCCCCTCTGTGAAGACTGCACATGTACGCATATCTTAGAAACCTCCAAAGAAATATCAGAGCTGAAATTATGTTATTTTCACCAAGGATATAATGAGAGAAAATAAGAACAATATTAGAGAAAGAACCTTCTCCATCTACACATGGATTATATGATGATTCATGCATTGTCTGACTGTTATTTGTCTCTGGTATTATCTGAATGTCATTCTACTCCCAGGTGTCCCAAGTGATCAGAGCAGTGGAACGTCCTCCCCTCTATGCGACAGTGGCTTACACTTGAACTACCATCCTAACAATACGGTACAGTTTAACATTCTCATTTCTGTATAACCTTCAGCCGTATCGCTCTCTCTGCAACTCTTGTAACATGGCCAGTAGGCTGTTGTTATTCCACAGTGGCATTCACAGGCAGACAGTGACGGTCAGGGTGCTCTAACTCTTTCTCACTCTTTCTCTGGGCCAGAGAAAAAAACTACCTTATTCAGTAGTTCCACAATGGCTTGTACTTATACAGCCTCTGCTGCATCTACATCTACCCATATGAATCATGAACAGGCCTGGGCTGTTGACATCTTACTAAGCCATGGGATAAACTATATGAAGTGTCAAACAATGAGGTGTTCTCTTCTCTGTGTGTATAAACCCCTGCAGGACACACTGTCCTGCTCATCTTGGCCCACGTCCCCTGGGCTCCGCTGGGAGAAGAGATGGGTGGACCTGCGCCTTATTCCTCTCCTTCACTCCCATCTGTCACAGCATATCCCCGGCTCTGACGTCTGCAGGTAAGCTGAGTGCTGTGCTGCAGCAGGGGGACCAGAGACCGCTCGTTGTCAAAACGCAGCCAGGGGCCATTTTCTGGCACGCTGTCACTGCTGCTGAAGGTTCAGTGACCCCTGTGCCTCGGCTATTTGAGAGGGGTCCCCTGGTAAGGGACTTTGGTGACTCAGTGTTAAAATGACTTGTCTCATGTAAATACCTTGAGATTATCCAAATGAAGAAGTCAGCTATTGGTAGTTTTGCTGCAAAGCTTGCTTGGCTGTTACTTATTTATCTTGAATGTACAGTAATAGAACTGAGAGTGCATGGGTCATCATAACATATGGACAGAAAAGCTGTTTGCCTGACCATGGAAAAAGATACGATATTGGGATATACCTCGCTCATATTGCTATTGATGTCAATATCACATTGAATTTGTGCCAACCAGTACTAAATAGTATATTTGTCTGATTCTGATTTCTATAGGAAAAATGCATTTCAAGTCATAGCTGTGGATGGGGTTTGCAGTGGGGTTATCACGTGCCCCACTGCTGAAGACTGCCTAGATTGGCTCCAAGCAATCGCAACTAATATATCAGCTCTCACCAAGCACAATGTGAGTATAATCAAACTGAAGGCAAAAACATGAGTAAGATAGGTAGATTTTCCATAGTCTTCAAGATCCACAGGTTTGGTTATGAAAATTACAATAGAGAACTGTATTACTACAGTAATATGGATTGCATGTGGCTGTAAAAGTGATTTAGGATCTAAACACAGTAGTTAACATATAACAGTTTATGATCTTGACTACTGTTAATTAAATGTTCAATGAGGTGTCAAACAGCTAGGGCCTCCCGAGTGGCACAATTGGCCCAGCGTCGTCCGGGTTAGGGGAGGGTTTGGCCGAGGGTGGGCGCTTTACTTGGCTCATCGCGCTCTTGTGGCGGGCCGGGCGCCTGCAGGCTGACTTTGGTCGTCAGTTGAATGGTGTTTCCTCCGACACATTGGTGCGGCTGGCTTCTGGGTTAAGCGGGCTGGTGCTAACGAGCGTGGTTTGGCGGGTCATGTTTCAGAGGACGCATGACTTGACCTTCGCCTCTCCCGAGCCTGTTGGGGAGTTGCAGCGATGAGACAAGATCATAAATCATAGATCATAAAGGGGACTAAAAAAAAGAAGAGAAGAAAAAGTGTCAAACAGCAAACTGTATCAATAAATGTATCATATAAGTCACATACTGTATATATGAATGTATTTTCATGCTATGGGGCATGAAACATCCACTTATTGTTTTTGCCGTAGGTCACAATATCAGTTGGCTCTTGGAGACAGCTACGGCATACACTTATACCCCCAAGCTAACTAGTGCACTTGTATCATCTATAATTCATAATGATGCATTATGCAATAATAATGATGCCGAGAGGTGGCAAGCAAATTAAAAAGAACTCAGGAGAAAGCAACTGTGTACTATGCTCCATTTCTCTGTTTGAACATCTTTGGAAAAGCTTTCTCTCGCTGGGTGTGTGGGGAACAAGTTAGTGCTTTGTTTAACTTCCAGATGGATAGTGCTCAACAAACAGCATCAGGAAAGTGTGCGTACCAGTCAGCTCTGTATCTTACTGGTTGGACCATCCTCAATTTGTATCCTCCAGACAGAAAGCAAATTATAAGTTTAGTTTTTTAGTGTTGCTATCTTTGAGCACCAAAGTCGATTTTTCAAAATGAATACCATGTCGGCCATTAGTGTTTAATGAGTAAGTGGACCTGGCAAAGACTAGGCCAGGAAGTAGAGCTAAAAGCTAGCCTGGCTAACGCTGGCTAACGCTGGCTAACGCTAACTCCCACTCAGATAAATCCTAATTCTGGCCTGGGTGGGTGGTTGGAGTACTGCTGAGAGTGTGGTTCGGAATGTAGTAAAGAGCATCTCAACACCTAGCATAGTATTAGCAACCTCTAACAAATGTAATTATAATGTAGCCTAGGGGCAGTGTTAGGGAGACCAAAGCATCTAGGGGGCTAATGGGGAATGGGCTAATGTGGAATGGACTAAGTGAGGGGTCACACTGAGCATAATACTGATGAGTCACTGTCACTACTGTACTGTGAGGAACAGAGGGTTTTCTGGCTGCCACCACTTTGCTTTCCACCCACTTCTTACTGTACCAAGATGCATGGAAGAGGTTGTCACCTGGATATGATTATATCAGTCTCTCTAAAAATGGAAGTTTGGTTGGTAAGTGAGAAATTAATAGGTAAATTACCCATTCTGTTAACATCTGACTCCAGAGTGATCTGAGTGGGCAATTCCACAGTAACAGACTGACGCTGAGACTTTTTCCAATTCCAATTGACATTTAGCAGACGCTCTTATCCAGAGCGACTTACAATTAGTGAGTGCATACATTTTTCATACTTTTAAAGTATGCCAAACAAAAACCATTGATTGCAAAGTTAAACAATTTGGTAACAGAATTACGCATTTTAATCACTTAAAAAAAGAATCGTTATCAGTAAAAACACTAACTATTTGGTAGGTCTATCTTTACTTGTTACTTCTGTGAACTTTCATTATCCTCCATCCTCATGAGGGAAAGACATTTTAAAATATCTTAAAGATAAGTGGGGTTTGGTAACAGAATGACACTAGGCAATATGTCTTATACAGTAAATGTTTATATTAGTTGGCAGGGGTCTTTAGTTCAACATGATTGTGTTTACAACGCCATTCTCGTCACACATCACATATTGAGCAACAACCGTCCCGGTATAGGGACACCGATCCCGTTTAAGAATTCTTTACAGTGGCTGATCTGGTCATTGTGTGCAACACTAACAGAATAGTTAGTAGACATATCTGTGGCAGACTTCCAACATCTTTCTTAGGCACTGGACAGGTCTAATCTGAAATCCAACGCTGCTGAATAAAGCTGCCAACCACAGTGATACAGTACTGTATAGGGTATTCCGTCCCAGAACTCACCTCATGTCTGGTAATAAAAGGCAAATCTCTCCATAACATTGAAAAAATAAACATTGGCTCCTCTCCTGGATCACTGTAAAAAAATTACCATTTTGGAAATGAGATGCTGTGAAAATGAAAAAGTTATAGCTACCCTCCTGCATAGGAAGACTTTGTGGGGAGGCCGGCCGGTTTAATTTGGTGCGCTGTCTGTTCCTGTGAGAGGGTTCTATTGATAGCGTGGTGTGGATTAGGAGTTACCTGGGTTCAAATAGTATTTGACATCATTGCAAATACTTCTGTGCTTGATTGAGCTTGCCTGGTTTAAAAGACCAATAGAATAGTACCAAAACTGTAAATATCGCCCATCTGGCTAGAGCAAACACTGAAAGTATTGGAAAGATTTTAAATAGTATTTTAATCCCAGTCGGAGCTGCTGATACTTGTAATCTAGCAGAATGTTTTAATTTGAAGCATCACGGCTCTCTCTCGCTCTCCCCAGCTTTTACTTCTCACAGACGGCGAGAGCGAGAGTGAGAGAGAGAGCGAGAGAAAGAAAGAAAGAGAGAGAGAGAGAGGGAGAGGGAGGGAGAGAGCGAGAAAGATAGAGAGAGAGAAAGAGAAAGAGAAAGAGAACGAGAAAGAGAAAGAGAAAGAGAAAGAGAAAGAGAAAGAGAAAGAGAAAGAGAAAGAGAGAGGGAGAGAGGGAGAGAGGAGAGAGAGAGAGAGAGAGAGAGAGAGAGAGAGAGAGAGAGAAACAATATATTTTTTGGAACAGCTTCAGGTCCTTGTGGAAATGACTCTATCCATTTAGCAATTTACATACATTGAATAAATTAAGTAGTTTCACTTCAACAGGGTTCTTTTATTTCTGTGGGGATAACATAAGAATGTTGTAAATAGAGAGTTAGCATTTGGTTTTGGTGGGCCCATGCCAGACTGAGTGTGTGTGTTTCGCAAAGAGGAGCATATTATACTGGTATGATGATACGTAATGACATTTTATACAGCCAACAAATGGTGTGATTAATAGGTTATTATTGTGTAGTAATAAATACGCAACAGAAATAATAGTCTCTGAACTATAAAATCAAATGCTACCAAATGTAATCTTTGTGTATTATGTTGCAATGAGTTTAATTTTTGATTTTACAGGTGAAGAAGATAAACAAAAACTTCCCAGTTAATCAACAGGTAAGCTATTACTACTACTACTACTACTACTACTACTACTACTACTACTACTACTACTACTACTACTACTACTACGGGGTGAAAGTAAGGCAGTATGGTCCGGTACAGCATCCCGGTAAAATAAATAGTGTGGGTACGTCTTACTGGTAAAACGTGAGCCTATCACAATTAATACAACATGCCCAAAAAACGATAGGATATTATCCTATTAGTTAACATTACTGCATGTCAGACGTATGAACAATTTTTGAATTGACTGGAAACCGGGTGGTATACGCTCCAAATTGCCTTTTGGTTTGAGGAGAACACTTACATTTTGTCAAGGCAGAGATGAGTGGCGGAGACACTTGCGGACAAGGCGGAGATGAGTGGCCGAGACCGAGGCGCGCGTCAACAGACGCGGACAACAGTGGATGATGCGTCAATTCAGGCTAAGTGTAGGCCTAATGACAATCCCAGAATGTCATTACACTACACGTAGGTGTTTTGTAACTGATGTCTCTTTCCATTCATCAAATTGCGGGTGCACAGTGCACTGTTGGGGTTTGGATGCTGGAATTATTTTGTGAGTGAACTAATGTGCGCGGGTAGGCTACAGGAGTGGCTTTGTTAAGTGACTGGTTGTGTTTATGCCACATTAAAAGGCGTAGGCGGCATGTCCATAAGGCTAGGGCAAGCTAAGCTTGAATTAAATTGCCCAATTTGTATAGCCTAATTAGCTTACTCCTGTCTATACAGAAATAAATAAAAAATCTTTCAAAATAGGCTACTACACCAGAAAGCATGATTTGGCCAGAGAGAATTATTATTATATTTTATTCAATACAAATACACATTAATATTATGATGCATTCTTTTAAAACACAGTTTCAAGGTTTTAAAAAATGACAGACTATGCCCAAAAGATGCTTCATCCAATTAGTCTCCACTCCACACGGTTTACTGTACTAGAACTCTCTCTGAATTTCAATCCAACCTGAATGCACAGAACACTGGAATAATTATCACTGTGAAAGTAATGTTTGTTTGTCAATTAAACCCGTAAGGTATCGGTTGCCAACTGGCGATTTGACACGAAAATAAAATTTCATTTGTCATGTCATTCAGTCATTCCAACCAGGTTGAATAGTCCACAGAAAGACCATGGTTGACTGGCAGTGCCAGTGGCAACTATTGCAGATGGAGGGAGAATGTTTGCATCATAAAGTCAAAGCAAAGAGAAATCATCAGGAAGAGAGGTTAACACAAGTTCCCTTGGTCCTCACTTCACCAACAATCTCTCCATCAGCCTAGACATGGATAGTGAATTAGCTGTCTTTATAATTAATCCATCTCCAGCCCCCAAATGACAAAAGCATGAAATCATTCGACATCCCGTATCGTCATGGCAATTAAAGTACATTAGAAGAGACCGACTGCTCATGCTGGTCCTGAATCTTTCACTCAGTGTTTTCATCCATCAAGACGTCCATAGAGAGAGAGAAATGCAAGCAAACATTTCCACTGTGGCTCGCTGCAATCCTCCTGACTGAGCTAAGTGCAGAAAGACTTGCTTGAAGCCTGCTGCTTCCTTTTCTCTAAAAAGTATTTTTCTCCCTCTCCCTCTCCATTTCCATTTCCTCCACTCCTTCTTCTCTCTCTTTCTCCCCTCGATATCCCGCCTCTCTCTCTCTCTGACAGATTATCTTCATGGGCTGGGTAGATGAGAAGGAGCAGGACTCCGTTCAGGACCGAATGTATTCATCAAAGTTCCTTGCCTTGAGGGGTTCCTCACTCTTCAAGTTCTCAGCACCTCCTGTACGTTTTATACCCTCTATTCCCTTTATTAGCAACGCTAACACTTTATTTTAAGCTGTTTTAAGCAGGGTACTTACCAGTGGTGTAAAGTACTCAAGTAAAAATACTTTAGTACTACTTAAGTCGTTTTTTTTGGTATCTGTACTTTACTTTACTATTTATATTTTTTACAACTTTTACTTGTACTCCACTACATTCCTAAAGAAAATAATGTACTTTTTACTTCATACATTTTCCCTGACACCCAAAAGTACTTGTTACATTTTGAATGCTTAGCAGGACAAGAAAATGGTCCCATTCATGCACTTATCAAGAGAACATCCCTGTCCATCCCTACATCCTCTGATCTGGCGAACTTACTAAACACAAATGCTTTGTTTGTAAATTATGTCTGAGTGTTGGAGTGTGACCCTGGCTATCCGTAAATTCAAAAAACAAGAAATTCTTGACATCTGGTTTGCTTAATATAAGGAATTTGAAATGATTTATACTTTTACTTTTGATAAGTATATTTTAACAGTTAGATTTACTTTTGATACTTAAGTATATTTAAAACCAAATACTTTTAGACTTTTACTCAAATAGTATTTTACTGGGTGACTTTCACTTTTACTTGAGTCATTTTTTATTAAGGTATCTTTACTTTTACTCAAGTATGAGAATTGGGTACTTTTTCCACCACTGGTATTTACCTGGTATTTCACTAAGAAACTATGTGTCAACAACGGATACTTTCTGGTACTTACAGTACCTGGTAACTACCTGCTAAATACTGGGCTGTAAAAAAAACGGTTACCATATAAATGTATAAAACTAGTTTCTGAAAATATGTGTCAAATGTTTTTGAAAATGTGTACATTGGTCAATGTTTCCAGCCTATAATGGAGTCCTACACAAGTTTTCCACCTTTGTTATGGTCTATTAAACCGTACATGTATCCAGCTAGACAACGATTATAATTCCACACATGATTGATGACCATCTGTGGACCATTGCTTTCCATTTGATTGATCATTATTATTTTACATTTACAGTCATTTAGCAGACGCTCTTATCCAGAGCGACTTACAGGAGCAATTAGGGTTAAGTGCCTTGCTCAAGGGCACATCGACAGATTTTTCACCTAGTCGGCTCGGGGATTAGAACCAGCGACCTTTCAGTTACTGGCACAACGCTCTTACCCACTAAGCTACCTGCCGCCCTATTATCACATCAGTATTATTATGTTATGCCAACCATATCAGTAATTGTGTTTACAGTATATCCACAACTCAGAATATTAGTTATTATGACAATTGTTTTGTTGGTATTAAACTAAAATATAGAGCGAGATTGATGTTGAGATAGATGTAGGTTTATCCCGGAGGAGCCCCCAGCTACACCTCACTTCAGCTGAGGTGTGATTTCCAGCTCAACCACTTTAGTTTGAAAGAAGCCTGAGTTTTGGTGTTTCCCCATTTTGTTTTGCTCCATATTATTTTTGTGCTCCCTATTATAAGTTGGTGTGGGTTTTCTTTTAGTTTGTCTTTTCGGAGGCAAACCTAGTGGGCAATGTTCCCTCTAATGTTTTTGGGCACTGAGCGAATTTCAGGTCTGCTGAGCGCAAATTCTGTGCAACTTACTGTGAACACTGAGGCTGTACCCACTTTAAGTTACAGTTTTAACAGTGGCTACTGTGGCTATTTGATCATAATGTACAGTGAATTCGGAAGGTATTCAGACCCCTTGACTTTTTCCACATTTTGTTACGTTACAGCCTTATTCTAAAATTGATTAAATAATTTTTCCCCCTCATCAATCTACACACAATACCCCATAATGACAAAGCAAAATAATGACAAAGCAAAAACTGAAATATCACATTTACATAAGTATTCCGACCCTTTACTCAGTACTTTGTTGAAGCACCTTTGGCAGCGATTACAGCCTTGAGTCTTCTTGGGTATAACGCTACAAAATGGCACACCTGTATTTGTGGAGTTTCTCCCATTCTTCTCTGCAGATCCTCTCAAGCTCTGTCAGGTTGGATGAGGAGCATTGCTGCACAGCTATTTTCAGGTCTCTCCGGAGATGTTAGATCGGGTTCAAGTCCAGGCTCTGGCTGGGCCACTCAAGGACATTCAGAGATTTGTCCCGAAGGCAATCCTGCGTTGTCTTGCCTGTGTGCTTAGGGTTGTTGTCCTGTTGGAAGGTGAACCTTCACCCCAGTCTGAGGTCCTGAGCGCTCTGGAGCAGGTTTTCATCAATCCTGTACTTTGCTCCGTTCATCTTTCCATCGATCCTGACTATTCTGCCGGTCCCTTCCGATGAAAAACATCCCCACAGTGATGCTGCCACAGCCATGCTTCACCGTAGGGATGGTGCCAGATTACCTACAGATGTGACGCTTGGCATTCAGGCAAAATAGTTCAATTATGGTTTCATCAGACCAGAGAATCTTGTTTCTCATGGTCTGAGAGTCCTTTAGGTGCCTTTTGGCATACTCCAAGCGGACTGTCATGTGCCTTTTACTGAGGAATGGCCTCCATCTAGCAACTCTACCATAAAGGCCTGATTGGTGGAGTGCTGCAGAGATGGTTGTCCGTCTGGAAGGTTCTCCCATCTCCACAGAGGATCTCTGGAGCTCTGTCAGAGTGACCATCGGGTTCTTGGTCACCTCCCTGACCAAGGCCCTTCTCCCCCGATTGCTCAGTTTGAGCAGGTGGCCAGTTCTAGGAAGAGTCTTGGTGGTTCCAAACTTCTTCCATTTAAGAATGATGGAATTCACTGTGTTCTTGGGGACCTTCAATAATAATAATATGCCATTTAGCAGACGCTTTTATCCAAAGCGACTTACAGTCATGCGTGCATACATTTTTTGTGTATGGGTGGTCCCGGGGATCGAACCCACTACCTCGGCGTTACAAGTGCCGTGCTCTACCAGCTGAGCTACAGAGGACCACAATGCTACAGAATTTTTTTGGTACCCTTCTCCAGATCTGTGCCTCGACACAATCCTGTCTCAGAGCTCTACGGACAATTCCTTTGACCTCATGGCTTGGTTTCTGCTCTGACATGCATTGTCAACCTTATATAGACAGGTATGTGCCTTTCCAAATCATGTCCAATCAATTTACCACAGGTGAACTCCAATCAAGTTGTAGAAACATCTCAAGGAGGATCAATGGAAACAGGATGCACCTGAGCTCAATTTCGTGTCTGAAGGGTCTGAATACTTATGTAAATACGATATTTCTGTTTTTTATTTTTAATACATTTGCTAAAATTCTACAAAGCTGTTTTCACTTTGTCATTATGGGTTACTGTGTATAGACTGATGAGGGAAAAAATGAGTTTAATCCATTTTAGAATAAGGCTGTAATGTAACAAAATGTGGAAAAGGTCAAGGGGTCTGAATACTTTCCGAATGCAATGTAGGCCTACGAGAGTAACCTACCATCAAAAACAATGGAGAAAATGCATCCCATAACATTTTAACATGGAAATAGCAGTTCTATCATTCAGCCTACAGTAGCAGCCAATGTGTGGTGTTCAACTTAGGCCTACATTCCATGAGACTTGTCCTTCAGACAAGGAGGTGACTGAAAATGTTGTTGTGTTAATTGATGCAAGAAACCACTTTACAAAATAAAAGTATTATTCCCATACCATTATTACAGAGAATCAGACAAAAATAATGCTACCCTCTGCCTATTGGCTACTTAGCTTATTCAAGCCTGTCTCAAAATACAACACTGCCCCTTTAAGACAAAAAAAAAAGCTCTTTACCTGACTCGCTTTTCAAAGATGTCTAGAAATGTATACGTTTTGTGCTCTTGTAGGAAGCAATCACTCCCCTATTGCTGACTACAAATTATCTATAACTGGGCTAATAACTCACTTAATTGCAAAGGATTTGAACAAAATGTGCACACGTGACTACATGCAGCTCTCGCTTTGATCTCAAATCAAGTGCATCTACTCATGACCACTCATGCTGTAAACACAGTTCAGTTCAAAGTAAATGGCACAGATCCATATATGGCAATGGTCTATTTGCATAAAGGCCTACTGCAGCTCTGATTGTTTATGCCGCACCCGTCTGTGTAGAGTATGGGCTGAGTAGTGCGTGTCAATGCAATAGAATCCTACTCCGATGCGTTCTGACTACAACAAAATCTCTTGCATAGTTTGTTTTGTTTTGGTATGTTGCATTGAAAGTGGCTAATATTGCGTTGATTAGATCACAATTGCCACAGTAAAGGGAAACGTTGATAGTGTTAACAAGGAAAACTCTGAGTCAAAATGCAAGCTGAGATTTAACACTCAGACATGACTTAAAAAACATAAGCCTATGCAACATTAGCCAATTAAAAACAGTACTGTAGCAATGAGGTTTGTGCAGTAAGCTATAGCCCCAATACATTATCACCACATATTATCTTTGCTTGAATTGCCCTGCCAATGCATTGTTGTTCGGACCATTTAAAAAAATTATATTTCAAAATTTGAGGTAGGCTATATGATCACAATGGTAATAGATCCGTTGTTGTATTACTTGTGAGGTACAGCTGAGTGAGCATACATTTAAATAATTTGCTTTTTATTTTTATTTTACTGGGCTGATGGTGCCTGCATCTGATGGGGGTCCGCCTCTCAACATCCCTCCGCTCCCCCTTTCCTCCACTGACACTGACCAAAAAGGGACACCGTCTTCCAGCTGATGGTGAAACTCCAGTCGCACCGCATTATTTCTACCTCATGCACAAATTCATGTTGTTACTCCTATGCACAGAGAAAGTGAAATATTCCTTGATATTAAAAAAGACCCAAGCCGCTAATAATAACAACAACGCAAACCTATAGATACACTTTCCTATTAATTAATTACTGCTGCAGTGCTTGTTGTAGCGCTGAGTGAAAATAGGAAGAACGCGCATTTTATGGCTTATAAAAGTATTGAATATAAAGTGTTGACAGTGCTGAGTAAGAACTTAAACATGAACTCACTCATAAAAACA